TATGTATTTGCTTTTTAAAAAAAGTAAAAATGCTCTTCTCATTCTCCTTTCTCTGATATAGGCACCAGGTATGTAGTTAGAAATTAAATAAAGGCCACAAAAACTTTCCAAGAAAGATCATTAAAAAGAAAAATCCTCTCTTCCTCTAATATCACACAGCTGGCCTTTAAGGCATGTCAGCTAAGAAAAAAGGTGTCACCTATGGTAACAGGAAGACTGGACCTTTCCCTCTTTGGGTAGTAGCTGAATTTCTATAATATATAACTCCTCATTTGTTCTAAGCAAGTTTTTTCTTCAGCTTTCCTTCAAACAATACCTTTACTTTTCCATTAGAATATGAAGATTTGAAGATTTTCAACAACAAAGTTCAGGGTTGGTAGCAGTCATTTTAAATCACATCTTGGCTATGCAGAGAGGAAAAGATATGGGAGAATGGCAGGGGAGGAGGGGAGGAGAAATGTATCTTCACTGGGAACACTGAAAGAAAGCAAGTTCTTCAGAGTTATTGCCGGTATTTCATGAAGGCCCAGGCTGCTACCATGGTGAGGGCAAACACTGGCACCAGCACCATAAATATGGGAATACCACTCGGGTCCCCTTCACCTCGATGTCCTATAGGTCCATTCTGCACCTGTAACTGGAAGGGAAAGAAAAATGTTAACTCTAGTGACTATTGTGTGCTTACCACAACTGAAATGTCCAGGTTGATACGTCACCTGGGTCTATAGTCTGTAGACCACCCAAAGCCGTAATCCCCAAGCACTACCTAGCAGAAGGATTCCTCTCTTTGTCCTCAGCTGCGCATCTGTGTCACAGAATCTTTGGAAAGAAAATAGGTCTGATGGGGAGGTGTTTAACCTTGAACTGCTACTGACCTAAAGGAACCCCTGAAGTCAGGTCAGATAACTTCTTTCTGTACTGCCTCCACCTTGCTATTTGTGTATCAGGAAAATGAAGATACGAGGTGAAACCTATTGCTGGGCAGGGAGGGGGATCTTTCTGAAAATGTTTACTTAGAAAGATTATCAACCATCAAAATGCAGTAAGAGCAGATCTGGGCAACGTCAACATAGGTGCAA